GCCACTTCTGGCTTTTTTCTTCTTGCTTATGTGGTGCTGAGGAATCGAACCCAGGACCTTAGGCATGCAAGGCAAGAAGTGCTCTACCACTGAGCCACCTTCCCAGCCCTGCCATCACCTTCTTGATTGAGATGAGGTCTCCTCTTTTTTGCCTGGGACAATCTTGAACTAGGATCCTCCTAGTCTCACCTTTGATTTACAGACGCCAGCCACATGTACCTTAAAGAAATTTTAGTCAGAATGTAAGCTCCCTGGCTGCAGCTCTCAGTAGTTGAATGAATAACTTGAATTCCTCTTGGCTTTCTTCAGTGGTGGGCTACTACCCAGTTACCTTCTGTGGGTTACTTCAGATTACCCTGGTAGTTAAGTTTTGGAGGGTTCAGCTGGAAGCCAGGGTTTCCTGTTTCCATCTGATTCTCTGACGTGGCTTCTAGGCTCTGGAAGGTTCTCTTTGAAGCATACATCCAGATGGGTACAGCGGCTGCCTGTGCGTTTCCATGCCCACCCTCTCGTTCCGCAGGAATGGTTTCTTGGCAGCTTCTCATGGGCAAAGGGTGGGTTTCCAGCTTCCCCTTGCTGTGGTGGGTCAGGTCACTCCAGCATCTTGCCATTGTGGGTGATTTGCAGCTGTCATCTCAGCAGCCATCATTAACTGACCTGCTGGTGGGTTTTCTCGTTCCTCTGAGGGTGTGGTGGAGTGTCTGCAGCCCTTCTCCGCACCAGCTGGGACCTTGCAGGATTAGTGGTGCTTAGCTTCTTGCTTGTCGGAGGGCTCGGCTCCTTCCTGCATTGCAAGTCAGTAGCAGGTGTCAGCTCATGGAGGAGGGGCACCTTGTCCTTCAAATGTCCTCTCCCTGATATTGCTCTCCTCCCTGGCTTGTGTTGTAGTGTTGCAGTCAGTGTGCTAAGATGGGGTTCCTATACTCTATGTCATGTGCTTTTTGATAGATGAGGTGGGCCTCTTGTGCCTTCCAGGTAGGAAGTTGGATGGCAGTCTCTTAAGGGACCAGCTGAACTATCGTGGTTATGGGGTCCCTTGAGACAGCATGTATTATTTCTCTTCTATTCTGGGTTTTAATTTTATTTCATTTTTATTTTGTATTTTTATTTAGACTTTTTGTTGGCTATGGGGGCCTGGGCACTGTCCCTGAGCTCTTTTGTTCAAGGCTAGTGCTCTACCACTTTGTGCCTCAGTGCCGCTTCTGGCTTTTTGTTGATTAATTAGAGATAAGAGTCTCACAGACTTTTCTGCCCTGGCTGGCTTTGAACTGTGATCCTCAGATCTTAGCCTTGTGAGTAGCTAGGATTATAGGCATGAGCCACCAGCACCGGGCTCTATTCTGGGTTTTTAAAGCCTAATACTCTTTGGCTAAAAGCTCTGAGTACAGCCAGGGAGATAGCGTTCATCTTCTCCTTTCTCTTGTTTGATTTGGGCTGCTCATTTAACACATACACACACTAGGGTAATCCATATCCATTGCTACCTCCCTCTGTGTGTGCTCCCTTTAGCAGGGGATTCAGGAAGCCCCTTAAAGCATCCTGGACCAAGGTCCTTCAAGGTCTGTGCAAGGGCCTCTTTGCAGCTTATCTCCCACCTTTCCTGTCTTTTGTGGATCCATCTCTCCAGGCCCTTCTTATTCTCTGGTGCCCACAAAACACTCATTTGAAGACTAGTTTAAGCTGTCCTTTTCCCTTCTTGAAAGTACCGCCCTGTATCACTTAATGATGTCTTCTTGTTAGGCAATGTCCTCATGCAAACACCGCAGAGTGACCTGTGCTCACACAGAGGAAGAATCTGAGTCCTCACTAGGTAGCACAGCTGTCAGGGACTTCAGTAGAATATGCAGTCTGTTGTTCACCAAAGTATTATTGTTATTTGGCATGGGATTAATACTTCCTTCTCTGAATTTACATGGTGCTTTACCTTGTTGGTTGTAACTCTCCCTAGAACTATAAATGAGCAAAAATTAACTAAGCACCTACCTCTCTTAGAAGTTGTGCGAGGCATTTATTCCATCCATGTATTTACCAGACATCATGGAGCTAGACACTATTGTGGGACTGGCAGTGGTATAGGAAAGATGAGACTGCTGCCCTCACAAAAGCTTTCACTTGAGCTGGGCCATTAAATAAGCACAGAGTAAAAACAGCCCAGATATAGTCAGGTCTGAACCTAAAAAGCTGGTCAGGGCCATGTTGGTAGGAGTGGGCTGGGACCATATCTTTCAGTACATGCAGTTGCTTCTTTCAGTAGCAAGTTTCTGATCAACACCAGGACTTGTGTTCTGTCTTTTGTTCCAAGTTTTATAGGTTCATGTCTTTTTGGTTGTTTGTTTGTGGGTTGAAATCAGGGCCTGGGCACTGTCTCAGATTTTTTGCTCAAAGCTAGCACTCTACCACGTAGAGGCACAGAACCACTTCTGGTTTTCTGGTGGTTAATTGGTGAGAAGAGTCTCATGGACTTTTCTTCCCAGCCTGGCTTTGAACTGTGATCCTCAGATCTCAGCTTCCTGAGTTGCTAGGATTACAGAAGTCAGCCACCTGTTCCCTGCTAGGTTCATGTTTTATTACTTGGACTGGACAGTAAACTCTAAGGACACAGCATCTCTTCTAGAAGGCTCAGAGGACCTCTTGGCTTTCTTACACCTGCCCTTTATATATTACTTCTATTTAGTACTGAACGAATGAAAGATGATAGAAACAGACTTGTGGGGATATTTGCTCCTGGTTTGGGGGACTAAAGCTACCTTGTGTGATAGAAAGGCTGGGAAAGCACAGAGGTTGAGATGACTTGTAGTAGGAAGAAAGCAGCGTCTTGGAGGAGGTGCTCCCTCCTCTATCTCCTGAAGAGAGGTAAGGAGAACTGCAGGGATGCAGCGGTCCTTTTCTGTCAGAATTGCTTCAGCTGTGGTCTGGAGTAAAGCTTGTTTGGGGAACCAGGTTGTAGAAAAGTTGGAAAGCCAGACAGCGCAAATGGGTGTTTTGTCTGGCAGGTACTAAGAATTTAGCGCATGTGTGCAGGCTACTGGGGCTGCTCCTTACGATGTTCTGAGTTCTTGGACTCCTAGAGAAGGTCATTGATCAAACAATGGCTGATCAGGTTAAAAAAGAATGTCTCCTACTGGACTTGGGGCTTCAGAGTGTTCTCTCTGGCTGTCGACCCTTTTTAAGAATAGTGCTCTTAATAGATCTCCCTTCTGATCTTTGGGAGTGTGGGGCAGCTTACAAAGAACTCTGTTGTTTTCCTGTTTCCACTGCCTGTCTTCCTTTGTCTTTCTTCCTTAACAAGGAGTCAGAATGTAGACAGAATTCCAGAGTCCCACACTGACTGGGAGCTCGCCATGTGTAGACATCGGAGTGCTACTTCTCCATGAGGAAATCAGCAACGGCCTGTTGCTGATAGTAGTGACTTTAGAAGTAATGTCAGCTTCAGGTCCTCTTGTCTGGAGGCCTCTAGATGTGGGACATGCTTTTTTGGAGTCACCGTTTCTGCTTCTTAGACCTATTGGAGAGGTGAGCAGGTGTGGTTTTGGCAGCAGCCTAGGATGGTTGGTCCAGCTGCTGTGACAGGTACACTTGACCTAAGTACAAGGTTGAGGGAAAATCTAGAAGTTATTCTCATGCTGCCACTTTTTCCTGATTGTTTATTTTCTTTAACTTAAAACTTTTAAAATTACTTTTTTGTATGTATTCATTTTAGTTCCGAGATTTGAAATGTCAAAATGAAAAATTCTAATTAAAAAATGGCTGAGTTAGAATGTTATAGGCACAGAAACCTCTCTAACCTTAATCTCTGTTAATTTATGACAAACTTTCATAGTTATTGGCATTATCTTTACTCAACAAATGTGTCAACAGAGACCTAGGACACTAACATGCTTTCCTGGGGCCACAGAAATAGCAAGAATCAAAGTCCTGAATCCCAGGGCCTTGCTGCCTTTATTGCTAAGCTCCCCCCCACCCCCTCCCGCATGTCTTCCAATCTCACTGGGTAGAGTTTAGGTTTTTTCCCTTTGTCTTGCCACTGTCAAATGTTCGGGTTGAGGAATAGAATTGGCTTTAATCTGGCCAGGAAGTGCCAGGTTATTTTTCATGGCCTGTTTCTAAGAGCTTGGTTAGTGTAGTGAAATGACACTTAGCCAACCATGGAATATTGGACACATCACTTAATGCTTTCTTGCTTCCATTTTTATCTCTTACCTGGGGACCTGAACAGTACCTGCGTCAGAGAATGGATGGTTAAGGAGCTAAAAGAGTGGCTGCACATTATGGGTGCGGTGGTGTCACAAGCATGAGTTATCTGTTCCTTCC